GACTGCGCCCCTTGGCAGCCATGTTCTCGGAAGAGAATGGAAACGTAGAACAGAAACAAGAATATGGAGCGATACTTTATAATACTTTTGTAGCAGCGGTGGAGCCAGAAATTATATATAGCGGGGGCGGACAATCAAATACATATAATATAGCATAAATGGTTCAATATATCTATATATTTGTATATAGAGTTCGATCATATATTGGAACACCAAAATCTCTATTAAATAATTAATTATGCATGTTGTGACAATTTTGCGATGCAAATATAACGATAAGCATAAATGGTTTAAGGAACTAACATGTTTCATTTAAATTTTGCTATCGAAGTCACCAATAATTTCATTGGCAGTGTCTAAAAAGAGTCAATTTTTGTTCTTTTAAGTTTCATGATGATTATCCTTCAATATAGAAAAATAATAGTTTAATTAGCCAATTAGGAATTAGCTGTAAACCGATGGACATTAAAAAATTGGAATAGAACAAGAACATACCTGGCTTGCCGGCTACCTGCTGCCGTGCTGCGTACTGCCTGGATGGGCACGTGCTGCAGTGCAGAGTTAATCGGAGACGGAGAGCCTGGAGACCTGAACGGCTGGACCTGAACTGGACGGCGGATGGAGGTGCGGACTGCAGTCTGCAGAGGTGCGTGCCTTTACGTCCGGGCGGCGGGGCGGGTGTGGCGGCGCCGGCGGCACTGCGGTGAATCGCGATCGGCGTGGCCGCGTGGATTGCCCTCGGCGGCTCGGCCCTCGCCCCTCGGATCGGACGTTCAGACTACCGACGGTTGGGCTCTCTAGTCTGTATACGCACACATGGGCTTGGCCGAAGCACAGAATTAGTTTTTTCATTCACCAAACATTGGGTGGGGCTATGCCGCCCCCCCCCGCCTCCGCCAGTGTTTTGTAGTGTCATCACATAAATAATGTTTCTAGGATTGAGAATGTAAATATTCCCGAAACAACATTGTTCGCTTGAACTTATTAGTCTGACTTATCAGCCATGGAACAGTGTTTTTCTCTCACGACAAATTAGCTTCAGCCGGCTTATCAGCCGCAGAAACCATCAGCCCAAAATGAGAAATGAGACATACCAGTGGAGCTAGGCACTAACAGCCTTGCCCAACTGACGATATGATGCCTAGGTTTAGCGCTCAGTAGCTTTGTTACTCCTAGTTGACACTAGGCCACTAGCTTCAAGATCCATCATCCATGTAGTTTCTAGAGTTTTGTATAAAATAAAACGGTCTAGCTAAACTGCTTATTCATTTAACTCGAAATAGTAACAAAATTGCTGAATCAAACACTCACCTCTAGGCTCTAGCTCCAAGAATTTGTAGAGTTAGGGATGACCAACCTGGCTTCCAAAAACCTTGGAGCTGAAGCTAGCTCAAACAAACCCTGACAAAATGTATGGTGGTCTAAGCATGCACAGCGGTGAGAAACATGTAAAAGCACTGAGCCAAGCTCGACATGGGCATGTGTTCATTCCCTTTCCTTCAACCACCACTAGAACAGTATGTGCTATTTAGTAGTTGGATTAATTGACTGTGCTACTTTCTAATGTCAGTTGTGATGTTATTGGGACCTATTGGTCTACTCCCTATGTTCCAAATTATCTGTCGCCGTTGGTTTTCGTGCCAAAAGTTTGACTCCATTTATAGAAAAATACGTGTAACATTTGTATCTCCAAATAAATTTATTAAAAAACTAGATTCAAATATCTATCTAATGATATTAATTATGTACCATAAATATTAATATATATATATATATATATATATTTAGTCAAAGTTATTTCTCGAGAAGCGAAAACGACAGATATTTAGGAACGAAGGGAGTATGATGTAGTATTCCTGGTTTATTTTTATTCTAGAATGCTACTAAGATCTACTATTTATATTGCTTAAACTTGCTGATATAGTTTTATCTCTTCTAAATGGTTTTATGGTTTTGGTTAGTTTGGGAATACCAACCCAAACCTCAAATGTCGGGTACTATTTCCTCAAGACAAATTTCAACAAATTTGAAAATCCAAATTAACCAATCCAAACTTTTCTGGTAAACCGCATGTCCACCTCTAAGCAGAGCACTTTTACTCTCGTCCTTGATCGAATGATGACTTTACTGGACTAGCTAATACTTCCTCTGTTCCAAATTATAAGTCGCTTTGATTTTTTTTGTTCATCCATTTTACTACATATTTAGATATATTATTATATCTAGATGCATAGCAAAATAGATATACCAAAAAAGTGAAAGCGACTTATAATTTGAAACGGAGGGAGTACTAGCTAAGTAATCCCACTTGTCCAGTTTATAAGGCATCTTTTGATAGAGCACAATTATCTAAATTATACGTTAACTATTTATTTATTTTATTATACTATATTGCTTATGTTTATAAACTTATTACTATTGGACCCATAACTAGTCTAGCAATTGATTAAAGAATTCCAAAGATCCACAATTAGTGCTAAGTGAGAGTGGGATTTACCACATGGAAAACCTACTAAAAGGCGCTCTACTTAAATTGGAAGCTAGTGAGTGTTCCTATAGACAAGTTAAGGAGGAGAGTTGAGGGGGCCACACGCGCGCACCGCTATGTCGAGCCGCGCCCGATGCCTTGGCTGGACGTGATAGGCCGTCTTTTGGAGCTCAGCACAAAAGACAGATGGTCAAGGCAACGGTCAACAAGGGCACAAAAGGGCAAATGGCTAAAACGTGTTATTTACTATTGTGTCCCTCCTAGAACCCATTTAGGTTCATCCCCCCTAATCCAGAGCTTGCTTAAAGGCAACTCCTCCCAGCAGGAGACTACATTTCGTCTTCCTCGCACAAGTGGGTGGGCGGAGCTCGGACGTGATAGGCCGTCTTTTGGAGCTCGGCACAATAGCAGATGGTCAAGGCAACGGTCAACAAGGGCGCAAAAGGGCAAATGGCTAAAGCGCATTATTTACTATTGTGTCCCTCCTAGAACCCATTTAGGTTCATCCCCCCCTAATCCTGAGCTTGCTTAAAGGCACCTCCTCCTAGCAGAAGACTACATTTCGTCTTCCTTGCATAAGCGGGTAGGCGGGCGATCAAGTTTTTGTGAAGCGCATCTGCGCAACTGCTCTTCCTCCATTCTGACGACTTTGATCTAGCAGCTACGGGCTTCACCGAGCAAATGACTGCTTCTCAACGACGCAAATGACTACTTCTCGGCGACCGCTCGAGAGCGCATATGGTTATGTGTGCTGTGAATCTATTGATAGGATCTGCTATTACTTTATTCAGTAGCAGATCTGCATATGCGATGAATGGATTGCACATGCTCGTTATATCATAATGTATGTTATGTTTTGTTTTCTAGATTAAAGCATGCTGTAAAATTACTAAATATTCAGCGATTTTTAGATTACATGATTATGAATCTAATAGTATCACATTTGTATTACAATAGTTAAGAGCTGAAAACCAAATCATTAATCAAAGATTATAAAATTTAATTTCTATCATAAGTTTTTTTTGAGTGGAATGCCTTACAACCAAGCGATGGAGACACGGATGACTTCCCGATTAGGATAGGACTACATCAAGGGTCAGCTTTGAGCCCTTATTTGTTTGCCTTAGTGATGGATGAGGTCACAAGGGACATACAAGGGGACATCCCTTGGTATATGCTTTTTGCAGACGATGTAGTGCTAGTTGATGAAAGCCGGACAGGAGTGAATCAGAAACTGGAGTTATGACAGAAGACTTTGGAGTCCAAAGGTTTTAGACTCAGTAGAACTAAAACTGAGTATATGAGATGTAACTTCGGCACTACTACTCGGGAGGAGGAAGATATTAGTTTGGAAGGTCAAGTAGTGCCTAGGAATGATACCTTTCGATATTTAGGATCAATGCTACAGAGAGACGGAGATATTGATGAAGATGTTAGCCATAGAATCAAAGCAGGGTGGATGAAGTGGCGGCAAGCATCTGGTGTCCTATGTGACAAAAGGGTACCACAGAAGCTAAAAGGCAAGTTTTATAGGACGACGATTAGACCTGCTATGTTATATGGTGCAGAATGTTGGCCTACGAAAAGACGACATGTTCGACCGATAAGTGGCGCGAAAATGCGTATGTTGCGTTGGATTTGCGGTCATACAAGATGGGATCGAGTTCGGAACGATGATATACGTGATAAATTAGGGGTAGCACCAATTGAAGCAAAGCTTGTCCAACACCGGTTGAGATGGTTTGAACATATCCAACGGAGACCTCCAGAGAGACACCGGTGCGTAGTGGAATCCTAAGCTAGGATAGTAACGTGAAGAGAGACAGAGGAAGATCGAAATTGATTAGGGTAGAGACAATAAAAGGAAATTTGAAAGGATGGAATATATCTAAAGACTTAGCCTTAGATAGGAATGCTTGAAAAACAGCTATTCACGTGCCTGAACTTTGATTATTTCTGCTGCGTTTTAACTCTAGCCTATCCCAACTTATTTAGGACTTAAAGGCTTTGTCGTTGTCGTCGTTGGAATGCCTTATAACCTGGACGGAGTACTAATCCAGTAGAGTTCCAAGCGCAACGTCAAGGACCAAGCGCAGCGACAAAGACTACTGGACTAGTTCCACTTCTTTTTACTCAACTTATTGCTACGTTTAAGCGAAAATCGAAGCCAAAACGAAACGCTTCGCGTCTCGGCTCCACGATCGCCTGCGAAAAGCGAGATTTGAATTGCGTGACGCGTCCCCGAGCTCGCGCGCTCTTCTGGCTCAGACACGACGCGCTGCTGCACGCAGCGGAAACAGAGACAGGGCCGCCACAAACGAACCGGCCAATGCCACGCTTATTGCTTCTTCGTACGAACGAATGGATGAAATGGTCAAAACACGTACACGTACACGAATCACGAACGCATTGCACCATATATAACTGCACGAGAGATCTAAACGAGACGGGGAGCAGCTGCTCCATTTATACCGCCGGCCGCCTCCGTCTCCGTCTGGGCCACGACATGCCATCAGGAGCGCAGGTGAGGATCGGGCAATAAGACGCGCGCGGAGTCCCCGGGCTCGCAGACCAGCACGCGGCGATCCGCGGGGATCCTGGAGACCAGCTCGGGCTGGGCGTTTTCGTACTCGGCACGGACGTACGCGGCCGCATCCTCCGCGCGCTGGCTCTCCACGATCGCCAGGCAGCAGCCCCTGAAGCCGGCGCCGCTGAACCGGGCGCCGAGGACGCCGGGGGCCTTCAGCAGGATCTCGTACAGCTGGATCATCTCTTTGCTCCCTGCAGTTTCAGATAAACCATTGCATCATGTACTGTTTACCTGACGATCAACAAGTATGATGGCGCTAGTGGGACGATTAAAATTGTAGAGTGAAGCACATGGTGCCGAGTGTCTCAAAGTACACAAGTAGCATACCACATTCGCAAAAAAAAAGAAAAAAAGAAAAGAAAAAGCATACCACATTCATAGTTGAGTATGGAGCTGCGACCAGATGCAGTGATCAGCTGTCCAAGTTCTTGTAGGTTCCCACGAGCCCATGCATCCCCGCCTGAATAAAGATCGGCGATAAACCATCAGACCATTGCAGAGCCATTTGACGCTTGCGTGGAGATACAAATAAAAGAGTGAAGTGTTTGTTGGCCCCGGATCTTTCACACGGGTGAGCTGACCGTTCACCGGCGTTGCCAACCACACACTATGGCTAGAGGTAGAAGAAGAGATAAAGAACAGAGCGCACACACACAGCACAAGCACTAGCGTTGGCCGAAGCTCTGCAGAGGAGATGTGACAGCAGGGCTAACTTTGGCGCCTGCCCCTGCTGTGGCTACAGTGCGGCAGGGGAGCCTTTCGACGCCTGCCCATGCCGTGGCTACAGTGTAGCAACAGAGAGCCCTTTCAACGTCTGCCCCTGCTGCGCGTTCAGACATGGGAGAGCGTCAGATTACTTTACAATTCTTCCCCTAATCCTGTTGCTAACCATAGAACCTCCACCACGCCGATCATCTTCTTCAGCTCCGTGAACCAAAGACGGTCGAGCGGGTGGTGAGAACGTCCGCAAATTGTCGACCGGTTTCGACGAACTCGTTGACGATCTACCCTCCATCGACACAGTCCCCGAGGAAGTGAAACTTGATGTCGATGTGCTTGCTCCGATCATGGAGAACCGGATTCTTCGCGAGGACGACGGTGGGCTAGTTGTCCACCATCAGTGTTGGTGGATGAGCTTCCACACCGGTCAGCTCGCCCAGCAGCCGGCGCAGCCACACAGCTTGGCACGCCGCTGTGACCACCGCCACGTACTCTGCCTCGCACGTGGACAGTGCCACCACCTTCTGTTTCAGCGACAACCATGAGATTGGAGCCAACCCGAGGAAGACGAGCACACCAGAGGTGCTCCGCCGTCCGTTGATGTCCCCCGTCATGTCTGCATCGCTGAACACAGTGAGCTGCATCCCACTTCCGCCAGTCTTGGGAAAGACGATCCTCTGATCCACCGTCCCCTTGACGTAGCGCAGCAGCCGCTTCACCGTGGCCTAGTGATCCTCTCAGGGATCCTCCATGAAGCGGCTAACGTAGCCCATAGCGAACGCAATGTCCGGACTCGTGTGGACTAGGTAGCGTAGACCACCGACGATGCTCTGGTAGAGTGTTGCATCTACCTTTGCCGCGGTACTGGCCTTCGTCAGCTTCAACCGTTCCTCCATCGGAGTCACGCACGACTTGCACTCAGCCATGCCGCTCAGCTCCAACAGCTTCGAGGCGTACGCGCTGACCGAGCGTGAGCGCCTCCTTCCCCTGTCTCACCTCGATGCCGAAGTAGTAGGAGAGCGCGCCGAGATCGCTCATTCGAAAATGAGCCGCCATCTCGCGCTTGAAGTTGTTGATGTCCTCCGCACGCGCTCCGGTGACGATCAAGTCGTCCACATACACGCCGACGACGAGCTCCTCCTTCCCCCGTCGCCGCGTGAAGAGCGCGTGCTCGGTTGCGCACCGCGTGAACCCAAGCTCGCCCAGCGTGGCGTCAAGCTTAGCGTTCCACGCTCGCGGGGCCTGCCGCAACCCGTAAAGCGCCTTGCGCAGTCGGAGCACCCTGTGCTCCGCTCCCTTGACAGCGAAACCCGGAGGTTGCCTGACGAAGACCGTCTCCGCCAGCTCGCCGTTGAGGAAGGCCGATTTTACGTCCAGTTGATGGACACGCCAGTATTTCGCTGCTGCCAAAGCCAGCAGCAGTCGAATAGACTCCATGCGCGCTACCGGCGCAAAGACTTCCTCGGAGTCGAGGCCTTCGCGCTGGACAAAGCCTCGGATGACGAGACACGCCTTGTGCTTGACAATGACGCCGCGCTCGTCCCGCTTGACCTTGTACACCCACTTCAGGCCGATCGGACATCCTGGAGGTGGATCGACGAGCTCCCAAGTCTCGTTTTCCTCGATCGCCTTCATCTCCTCCAGCATCCCCCATCGCCAATTTGCATCGCGCTCGGCCAACGCGAACGTGGGTGGTTCCTCTGCACTAACGAGAAGCAGCTCTGGGTCACTGAGCAGTCGACCCGCCAGGCCTGAGGACCCTGTGCCGCCGCCGATGTCGTCTAGCCTGCGGAACCACACCTCCTCACCGTCGTGGAAAGCATCCACGAACTTTGTGATGTCGCTTGGAGGTGATGCGAACTCGATCGGCGTCGATGGAGTCCCCTGTTCCGCCGGAGTGGTCGGCATAGCACCTGGAGTGCTCGGCACCCCGACTGTAGTGCTCGGCACTACTCCTGGACCGCTCGTCACCACTCCTGGAGTGGTTGGCACCACTGCAGGAGTGCTCGGCACCAGTCTTGGAGTGGTCGGCACCACTGCAAGACCTCTCGGCTCCGCTACGGGAGCGTTCGGCACCCGTCCTGGATTGGTCGGCACCACTGCAGGACCGCTCGGCACCACTCCTGGAGTGCTCTGCACCCCTCCCGGAGTGCTCGGCACCGCTCCAGGAGTGCTCAACTCTGTTGTTGGAGTGGTCGGCACCTCTCCAGCGTCTCCACCACCGTGGATGACCAAGTGTTCGACGACGAAGGTGCTGGTGAAGCCACCAGCTTCCCCCGTGCCCGGACTGTCCCAATCCCAGGCCGCCTTCTCATCGAACACGACGTCGCGCGAGACAACAACCTTGCCTCCGCGTGGGTCGTAGAGCCGATACACCTTGGTACCTTCCTTGTAGCCTAGGAGCACCATCTGAGTGCTCTTGTCTTCCAGCTTGGTAAGGACCGGCTTCGTCTTCCTGACGTGGCCGATGTAGCCGAATATTCGGAGGAAGGACACGCTCGGCTTGCGCCCATACCAAGCTTCGAACGGCGTCACGCCCTTCAGGGCCTTTGTGGGAGCGCGGTTGAGGATGAACACCGCCGTGGTCACCGCCTCACCCCAGAACCTTGCCGGCATGCTCTTGGCCTTCATCATGGATCGAGCCATGCCGACCACCGTCTAGTTCCGTCGCTCCACCATGCCATTCTGCTGTGGCGAGTACGGCGCGGTGTGGTGTCGCACCACACCCTGATCCACGCAGTACGCAGCGAACTCCATCGAAGTGAATTTGCCACCGCGATCAGTCCGCAGCACGCGCAACTTCTTGCCGCTCTCCGCCTCCGCGCGCGCCTTGAACTTCTTGATCGCCTCCGCTGCCTCGTCCTTGCTTGTCAGTTGCAGCCACATATAGCGACTGCAATCATCCACGAGCAGGAGGAAATACCGCCGACCACCGTTTGTGGCTGCCGTGATTGGCCCGCAGAGATCGTCGTGGACGAGCTCGAGAGCGTCCGCCGCGCGATACTTGGCCGCCTTTGGGAACGACAACCTCCTCTGCTTCCTGGCCAGGCAGCTGTCACACAGCTCACCTGCGTGCGACGTCGCCATCAGGAGTGACCTCATCATCCTCATCAGCCTATGCTAAATGAGCCTCAGCCTTCTTCTCCTGCTTGCGATTTAGGCACTCCATTGCCCAATGACCCGTCTTCCCGTAGCGCCGGCAGGCGTTGGGGTCGACCTTCTTCTTCTTCTCCAAAGAAGCCTTGCCGCGGCGTTTGTCATCGCCACCACGGCTGGAGGAGGCTTCCCCGGATTTCTTCCAGGTAGCCCACTCCTCTCTCAGCAGCAGCTTGCCGCCGTCCGTCGTTGTTGTGGTCTGCTCCATGCGCTCGTCCACCGCCCGCAGACGGCCTATCACACCCTCAATGGTGAGGGTGGACAAGTCCAGCATCGTCTCTATGGAGAGAGCGATCTGGATGTACTTCACCGGCACGGAGTGGAGGTACTTGGAGACCGCCTCTTCTTCGTCGATGGTGACACCGTGGCTCCTCGGCTTGCTGATGAGCGACTGCAGGCGGAGGGAGAAGTCCTCCACAGACTCACCATCCTTGAACTTGAGGGTGGCGTACTCCTGCTTCAGCAGTTGGGCCGTCGCCTTCTTTGCGCGGTCGGAGCCAACGCGTATCGCTGCAATGGTCTCTCACGCCTCCTTAGCAGAGTTCTTCGCCCCCAACGGCTCCCTGTACTCCGCTAGCACAGCAACAAGGATAGCATCCAACGCTGGCATGTCGTCTTCTTCGTTGTCGGTGCCCTTGTCAATGGCATTCCAGAGCCGTCGGGCTCTGAGCTTTACCTTCATGGTCACCGCCCATTCGCCATAGTTGGTGCGAGTCAACGTCGGCCAACTGGTGCCGCTGATCTCCCGCACCGTGCGCACGACAACATCCTGTCGTGGCTGAGCGCTGCTGTCGCCCATCTCCAAACCGTCCGTCATCGCCAGCGGTTAGTCCGGCGACGGCGCTTGTACGGTTTTGATACCACTTGTTGGCCCCGGATCTTCCACACGGGGGAGCCGACCGCTCACCAGCATTGCCGACCACACACTATGGCTAGAGGTAGAAGGGAGCGAATTTAGTTTTGCCATCTCCTCTGCAGAGCTCCGGCCAACGCTGGTGCTTGTGTTGTGTGTGTGCGCTCTGTTCTCCCTCCCTTCTTCTACCTCTAGCCATAGTGTGTGATCGGCAACGCCGGTGAGCGATCGGCTCACCCGTGCGGGAGATCCCAGGGTCAACAGTGTTAACTGTTTCTGGATAGAATTAGCATACCCAGTGAAACTGTAGTATCAAAGGGAAACAATAAGCATGAATACAAGGTACATTTATGCAGATGCCAGAGGTGGCCGAACTGTATTTCTTTGTTAAGATGTGCACTGTTGGTGACTGGTTGAAATATGGTGAAATGATCTTTCAAACAATATATGAACTAACACTTTGTAGTCATGAGAATAAAAATATGTCATGAACAAGTAATTTACATACTGCAGGATACACCAAATATGTGATTAGCTCACCCTTAGTAACCCGCTTCATTTCAGAAAAGTAGTGCTCAGCTCTCCTGGAAAGATTTTCTTCCAATACACACTGCAGGAATAAATTATGTTGGAATGACATGAAATTGTTAAGAAATTGGACCTAGAAGTGATAATTACCTTCTGGGCCTCATATACAGCTGGATCAACTGTAATAACAAAGAAAATGTCAGACAAATTATACTTTTACATAGGGTCACGACAAGAAATATTACTTAGATCATGTACCATTGCAAAGTATATTTGGCGTATCTTCACAGCCTGAAGCACTGAGGATGCAAATAAAAACATAATCAATGAATCAAACTACATTGAACACGACAATGAATAACAAACACTGTAGAAGAACCACAAATGTCAACTCATACAAAATTGAAAACATAAGAGTATATTTGTTTGCATGATGAAATATAGCTATACTAAGTTATTAACAGAGGAACTCACTGCAAAAGAGCACGGGCAGCCTCTTTGCACTCAAAAACCCGCGTATTATATCCACTCTTCTTTGGCAGATTATGTTGCAGTCCTGAAAATGCCAATAAAATCTTGAATGGTAGCTGTCCCTGAGGCTGTTGGCTTTTACTCAGCTCCGAGAAGCAGACGTAGGAAGGTGAAGCAGTCTACTCAAGTAAGACAGTCTCAGTCACAACAAATACAAATACTCTCTCCAGTCACAAATACTTGACACGTCTAACTTTGCACGGTTCGATGCGTATCTTTGACCACTGATTACTTCTAGAATAATGTCTTGAAATCCTTATAAGAGATTTTGCAAGTATTTTGAACACAAATCAACACATATAACTTTCAAACTTCGAAACTAAATAATGTAATAGTTATTGATGTTTGTAGTAGTTTTTAAGGTATGACCAAATCTTGGCCTAAACAACAAGTTCGTTGCAACTGGAGGTAGTAGAGAAAGAGAACACTGCAATGAACACTGTCTAACAAAGTATGTGCATGTACAGCACAAACAAAGATACACTTGGCAGAGTTGACCCAATTAAAGGGACCCAAAGTTTAGTTTTATCAACAATTGAACTTATGGAAACATGTATCCTCATATGTGTTTTATGGGACTAGTTCATCATGCAAACATATCCTCATATGTGTTTTATTAAATAACTCAGTGGCCTTGAAAGTTGAAACGTTATATAAGAAAAGGAACTCTTCATATCAATAAGAAATTAAATAAACTTCGTATAAATGCAAAAGTATTACCTTGCAGTCCATGAAGGTGAGATAGCCATACCGTGAAAGCAAAATGGCAGATGGATCTAGAATGCCATTTTTGAGACCCAAGTATTTATTTTCAATGTACCTGACATATAGGAACAGAGTTAAGTGGACAGCTGAAATCCTAACGACCATGAATATCCTTCTAAGAGGGTGACAACAATTAATTTAGTATAAAGCAAGTAGTCTAAAGTAAGAACAGCACATTCTTGCATTAAGACATTGCTAAGGCATTAGCTTATGGTAGCAGGCTTGCAGCGAGTTCAACAAAGCTGTTTGTAATTAAAACAGGTATCGATCAGGTGCATGTACAGCACAAACAAAGAGACACTTGGCAAAGTTGACCCAATTAAGCTAAAAGACAAGTTTTATAGGACGGCGATTAGACCTGCTATGTTGTATGGTGCAGAATGTTGGCCTACGAAAAGACGACATGTTCAACAGATAAGTGTCGCGGAAATGCGTATGTTGCGTTGGATTTGCGGCCATACAAGAAGGGATCGAGTTCGGAACGATGATATACGTGATAGATTAGGGGTAGCACCAATTGAACAAAAGCTTGTCCAACACCGGTTGAGATGGTTTGGATATGTCCAACGGAGACCTCCAGAGGCACCGGTGCGTAGTGGAATCCTAAGCCAGTATAGTAACGTGAAGAGAGGCAGAGGAAGACCGAAGTTGACTTGGGTAGAGGCAATAAAAGGAGACTTGAAAGGATGGAATATACCCAAAGATTTAGCCTTAGATAGGAGTGCTTGGAAAACAGCTATTCACGTGACTGAACCTTGATTGCTTCTGCTGGGTTTCAACTCTAGCCTACCCCAACTTGTTTGAGACTTAAAGGCTTTGTTGTTGTTTGTTGTCGTTGTTGTTGTTGATCGATCAGGTGCATGCACCCATGAAATTTGTCCTTGTAGGCTATTAACGGGAACCAAACAAACTTACTTGTCTAACTGAATGTTATCCACTGGTGATATAACCAGATCATTTACGTGTTCTAAAGCCAGCAAGTAAGCGATGCCAACCTGTTGAAGCGAACAGACAAACAGTTATCTTATAATCAATATCATTGGTCAAATTTTCTTAAAATGCATTTTGAGGTTGTAGGGTAATAGAAATGTACTAGAGAAAAAATCAGTGATCTGGGACAAATTCCAATCTATATGCTTGTGAAGTTAATCAGGTTATAAATCAGCGTTTCATTGAGATGAAAATACATATAAAAATTTACTGCCACCTTCCAGCACCTAATTTAACACTACCAACAAGCAATAGATAGGCCTAGAAGTAACATCAACTCAGTAAATGTATACAATATATCAGTAAGCTTACCGCCGCAGAAGAACTGAGCCCTGAACTATCAAGACCTTTCACACCAGAAATATATCCTATGATACCCTACAAGAAATCATTTGCCAAAAATTTTTAAGTACAACACAATCTGCACTGTTTAAAAGATAAATGTGATGGGTTACCTTCCTTAGATCATATCCACTATTCTGCAGTGCATAAACAGCACCTCTTGCATAACTTTCCCAGTTTATGTTCTCAGGTTTATCAATAGGCTTTTGCAAGTCATCAACTCTGTTGGGAAAGAAAAGGATGGAATATGTATGATCATCTTAGCTTGGTGGTATTGAAAGCTTAAATAAGCAAGGATTCAGGCATAAGAACTACAGCTGTAACACAGAGTGACCTAGAGTATTTCCTAAGCGATGTTGTCCCACAGATGGGGCTAGTTTTCAATATTACGCAGTGTTAGGAATGCTGAAACACAGTGGAAAGTTTGATCAAGGAAAAACAATGTTTTTATGGTGTTACCTGAATCTTATAACACCTTCAAATTGACCAGATTGAAGTAAAACCTGAAAGAAAAATAAAGTTTGCTAACTTTATAGATAATATAGCACTGTCCTGAATCATGAATGATAGTGCACAAGAACTTCAACTTTGCACAGGGACCATAAGTTCTGCTTATGATGTATTTTTACCAAACATGTAAACAAGCAGAGACATGAATACCAAAACACGGAGTGACGAGGAGCCAAGGCAGTGTAATATATTATTTCAGGACAAAGAAGCTGACTTGATTTTTTTTAATAAGAAAATTAGGTAATATGTAGTAATTTACCAACCTCGGAACCATTAGAGGGAACAAAACCAAGGAGTACCCCATAATTTATGGTCATAGCTGTGACAACTCCACCCTGCCAGATTGCAGACGAGAATTTAGATAACAATTATGGGGTGATGACTGTCTATGCACTGTTTGAAGTTAAAATCAATTATTACTGTAATAATATGACAATCGCATTAATCAAACTGACATTATGGGTTCATGCACTCTGATCAGTTGGACTGTCTTTGCCGTAGGTTTTGAAACTTTTTACCAAAATTAGTATAAGGCATAGTGTATTCAGGCATCATATTCTAAATGAAAATACCAGAACATGTTCCAAACAATACTCAAATGGTTTTTTTGTTTATTAGTGGTGATCAGTTATCACCACAATGTCAAGCCATAAGGCTCGTTCATCACTGTCACTATACATAGCTTGATGCAACTAACAAACATTCGCACAGGGAGTGGCCTAATGTTGTCCTGGAAATCATCTAAGCCTGATCAAAACTGGAGGTGACACTAGGTCAATATATGTACAGAATAATACTACAATATTACCATTTATATGGAAACAACGTGATCTCTGGAACATGTACTTTAACTTCTCGATTAGAATCGTGACTTTATTATCTTCTGAAAAAAAAATGAACAACATAGTAACACAAGGTCACCTGATGATCAATGTGAGCCCCCAAAGGGCAAATTCTGTAGGGGCAAGCAGCAACCCTAACCTCTTGTTCATCCCTTCCACTAATCTCCGCCACCTTCTTCCGTACAATGTCAAGCTGCAATACCAGCTACAAGATGTAAAAGGAAAAACATTGCAATACACTAACCAACAAGATTAACTTAAGGTCAACCACCCCACACTAACATGGGGTTTCTCATTTGAGATCATGCAACTTTGACAAGATCAGTTTCAGTCCCATTTGTTAAGGTAGGTACATGAGCAGGTGGGGTCATCGGAAAATAAGATAACGCAATAATATGCGCACATTCTTCCTGTCCACAGAAATGGCCAGCCATATGGTCCTTGCTTACTTGAAAGTTGAAACCAGGAAGATTCAGGTTGTATTGAGACCAGATGAAAGGTACAGGTCATTATACCCAAACTTGAACCAACAATGCGAACTCATTATCCCAACAAAGCATACTGGATATCCTTTTTCTGTTTCATCAATGAAAAGGGAAATAATAGCATCTTACTTTCCTCTACTGGCTACTGGCCACATCATCCGAAAGCAAAAGCAGGGCACGATCAAGTCAGGTCTCACTACACCCAGCATTCTAACATTTAACTCGAAAGCTAAGAGGACGTCTCAGGAGCATAAGCTTAATAATCAAAAGAGATGCATCTGCAACAAGCAAAAACAGCATGAACGGATCCAGATAAACTGCTCCGAGATTAATTAAGTGACAGGTAAATCGAGCAGTGCCAAAGGCTGCCAAGTGGAGCGGCCTTCGATGGGCGTCCCCGGCCCCATACACGGGCCACGGCATTCCGCAACATCCAACAATCTGAAATCGCCGGGCCGCGGCTTCACCCCTGAATCCCCCGAGGGCCGCGGCAAAACCCACGCGGCCGCGAGATCGCAACCAAACAACCTACGCCCACCGCCCGCATCCCCATGCGAATCCCCCCGCCCCCAATGTCGGTGCAATGGCACAGGAAACCTCTCACCTCCTCCGCCGCCGGCCAGCGCGACGGACCTCCTCCTGCTCCTCCCCCCGACGCCACCATTCCTATTCCGCCCGCCGGTGGCGCAGGCGCGGCCGCGGTGGCGAAGGCGCAGCGTGAGGGCTGTGGCGCGTGTGAGAGAGTGCGGTGCGGGAGGCGACTGGCGAGGCGATCGTACGTGGCGCTCGTAGAAAGGTACAGTACGTGGTGGGATCGGGGGGGTTTGCTTTGATTGCTTTGGCCGTTCGCCGGTCACCTTTCTTTTTTTTTTTTTGGTGGATTGACACCGCGAGTGGTAGCGTCGGACCGTCGGTGGCCTGTGGTCTTTTAATAGGACCCCTTTTAATATAATGCCCGTACTAATGCAACAGATTTATTTTAAAGATGTACATAAAAATAATCAATGTTTTTTTTTCTATAGTTCAATTTTTACCTAATATCTTTGAGCATGTATCTAATTCGGGAAAATAAGAAGTCATAGTAAAGTTTTTTTCGCATATAACCATTTAAGTTACCTTCTATCTAAGTCATTAATCATGACTTCGAGATCTCCAGAAAAGTTATCAAAATATTCTTTTGCACCAAAGGTGGGGCCTGCCCCCAACACATGCAACGGGAATTCCATTATTTGGAGGATCCAATTGCATCTGAGAAATAGTCAGCAGTCTTTTCTGCTTCTTCACCATTCTCCCTTCTTTGATGGCTTTCTTCTTGGGAATCGTCACTGCAGTCCATTTCTACTCAGCTAGCTCCAACTATATTTACAAAGACAGCATTAGATGTGGTTCCACACTTCCAGTAAACTGATGCAAATCAACATTCATATATACCTTGTAAGATGCATAAATTAAAACATTTGGTCTCATAATTATGGGGAATGTTAACATGAAAGCTGCAAAAAGATTCCATGTTTATAGGATGTTGATTACATCAACAATATTAAGACAGTGCTAGTGGATGGCTTTGTGCTGCCCTAGAGCCCCGCAGCCAGGCGCCGTAGCCTGTCTGTGCGTGCCTTGTGTTTTTTTCGGAAAAAAAGGAATAAGATCGGGGGAGGTGGGAATCGAACGCGGCGTTTCATTTTTTTGGTGTTCCCAGGCTTTGATCTCTGGGCGCGTTGTGTGTGGGGCGCGTTGAAGCCTGCGTGCGTGGGATGGAGGGCGCGGGGGTGAGAAGGCTAGCATCCCACATCTAATCGTGGTCATCGGATTTGGTTTATGTGTTTTATTAGCCATTGATTTAATACAGATGAATTACTGTGTGTATTTTTCGGGATGCACAATGGTTGGAGGCTCTCAGCGGGGGACTTTTTCTTACGGGGGATCTAGTATAATTTTAATTGGTCTATTATAGCAGAGATGTGGTGCATCGACGGACGGGTAAAGGGATAACGGTGGAGGCACAAGGACGAGGTGCGCCGCTGTGCTCTCTCTGTTCATCTGTTGCATTGTGCCCAGTCGCCCACACTGCCATCGGCGGACACCTGGCATACGACGCTCACCGGATGTAATTAATTGTAGGCCATGCACGACAAATGACCGCGAACCGGATCACGGGCACGGGGACAAACCACAAAGGACAGAGCAAACGGTTGGTTTGGTTCTTTGTGCCGTGAGCCGCCAGCCCGTGATCCACCGCCGCCGCATATGGCGATGGTCCTTGTTTCTGTTCTCTTCCTTGGCAAATGCGATTATGCGCTCGTTTTCGTTTCCCTTTCCGATCATGGCAAACTAGTACAAAGCGCGCGCCTCCGCGCGCGTGTGGGTAAACAGTATGGATGTGATACACTGAAATTATATGAGAAGTTAATCAAGAGTAATAGGCAAATATACACCTAGAGATATATATAGTTAAAGATGAAGCATTACATAGGTATATGTTACACGTGCTGCTGTAGCTGTCCTGACATCCAAAGCATACATTACGTGCGGTGCGACAGGATTTAAACATGTCAATGTGGCTTCGTGCATAGTGTTTTTGTACATTAGGTGGGATCATAGCTAGTATTGTTTCCCTGGACATAACTGAACATACTTTATAGAACATAGTTTCGTAGCTGACTAATTATGTGCAGAGCTCTTTAGAGCCGTGCATAATAGGCGTACAGAGCATTATTTAGGGCATAAATACATGGTGCATATAAGAGCAGGAAATAAGTAAGCAGCTAGGCAGGGCTATATAATGACATTATTGAAGAAGCGCATTTGCAGAAGGTGTTAGCTAAGTAGAAGTTGTGGCGCAACAGAAAAACTTTCCTTCCAGCGTAGCCGCCGATGGTCCAACGTGGATCTTCTCAGTAGTTTGGTTCACGATCAGAGAGGTCGCCGGTGTAAGATCGTTAGCTGCATAGAACAATATCCACCATCAGATGGATTTAAAGCATACACCATATCGGTCAGTAGGTCTGTCACATTTCGAATCTTATTCAAATCGCCTAAACGCCACTTAAGAAAAACACTGCAAAAAAACATGAGACAGGTTAATTGAATGAGGAAAGGCCAAATTAGGAAGGAAAAGGGCATAACCTTAGAGTCTCAACATCTGAGGACATTCCCGCAGCATATCTGGGTGAACCATAGGTCCAAGAATTATGTGTACCTAGAGGAGTAAATATTGGCGGAGCATCTATAGAACGTTTTGGGAACACCACACCTCTCGTCTGCAGCAAAAGTCCATCAGTTACCTAAGGTAGTTGCAACTAAAAGAATTGTTTGCAGAAAAGCCAGAGAGGCAGAAATGGATCTATGCGGCTCTGCCAATTCAAACTAACAGAATTTGGGGGGAAATGCTACTGAATACTCTACCTGGGAAGATGCCACTCAAAATCTCTGTTGCTTTGAAATATCCCATTGTCTCTCCCTTTTCATATTTGCACATTCTTGTCCTCCTAGAAATGAGATAAAAGGGCAGGGACCGAAAGAAAAGTAGAAATAGAGTGTTTTTTTAATTAACATGTTTTTTAGTAGCTTGCTAAAATCAAATTCGCCAGAAGATGGGGATGCTTTGCAATAACAACATTGTTGATTGATGTTGAATGCAGGACATGTTTCTGAAACCCTACACAGTGGTAACAATATTTGGTGAGAACATCCCGCATATTATTCTGAAAGCAAATTCTAAAAGAAATATTGCCTAAATTTCTAACATGGATGTCAGCTTATTATAGGCACTGACAAAACAAGAAAGGAATACAACACAAATAAACTAAAATGGATCTTTGTAGAACCAAAAACTATGGCATGTTAGATGATCCAAACAATAATTTATGGTTTTTCATTGCAAAGGATTTTGGAAAAAGTACTTACAAAGGAAAAGGTGTGTTGTGGTACGAACAAAAAATCTAGGAGAAAGTACTGTAGCTGATCACAGGAGAAAACGCAATGTTTTGAGTGACTGTTTTGTCAGCGCTAAATTCTCCAAGTGCAGCAACCATACAATCTATCTAATTCTATCTAATACGTCAAAACATGCACATGGAAATGTCAGTTTTAGCATTGTAGGTATCTTCGGTCCACGTCTCAAGCTGTTGTTCAAGGTTATTTCAAACTAAAATGATGCCTTCTCAAGCAGATCACACCTAGAGATTATATGAGCATGCAATGCCAAAAGAAAATAGCAAAACACCCTAGACATACTTATTAATGTATTGTCACCCACTGCCTTGTCTGTTTTTTTTTAATTTGTCAGCTTGCTAATTTCAGTGCAGTTGCAACCAGTTAATGAGCAATCCAATAGCATAGGTAAGCATTCAGAAGGCATAGGCACAACTGTACTTGTTATTAGTAGGTACCGAAACAAATACATTTTTTCCTATCCAATCCAAACATGGAAAAACTGAACTAATATGAGAATGTTTGTTTCATGCTGCATTGATTAGTTTCACTCTACAAAATCACCTTTACTTTGGCAACATGTTTCAGAGGCACCATATTGTTTTTTAGTACCATAGGTGTTATGGAAGTCTATAAATAATCACATCCAAATTTGATGGGAGTACAAAAGTAGAGCAAATTGGCACTACTAACTACAACAAAATCACCAGTTCTACAGGAATCGACTTCAGGGCATCACACAAATAACCAAGCTGACTGTGTGGAAACTTGAAAGATTGATCTCCACCATTAGTTAGCAATGTTATTCTTACACGCTGGGCATCCCATTAGCTAAAATAATGGGCCATGAATAATAAAAAACCTGCGGACCTAAGGAACCAAGAGGAAGAAAACACTGCAGTATAGTTTGAAAATTTATTCTCTCAATATCATAGTAGGCACGTTTGCTATATCGTTTAGTTTGGTAAATAGTTTCGTCCGAGGAGGAAACTATGTTTTTTTCGTTAGAAGCGAAGGACATGAACAAGGGAGCAGACCATTAATTCAAAAAGGCTAAATAATGCAGTTACCTGAACATGAATACAAAGACCTGGAAAGAGAACACTTTGAAATTTGCCATTACTCCACAGTGTGCATACTGTTGTCGGAACCCACAGTAGAGAAAGAATAAGGAGCAGCCTTTATTTTTTTTTATTTTTTTTTGTTGCTGATGCCTTGCACCACACACTTGGTATATGCAGTCGACAAAGAAACATTGCAAGAAAGAATAAGGGTGTTGTTTTTTAGTGGCTTAGTTAGCCTTGTAGCAAAAGTGGCAGCTCTTAGAAAGTTAGCGACACCATCAAGAAATTTAAGAAAAGACTGGCTATGTGAAACTGAACCTATATCAGCAGTGCACATTCTACATGTGAAAAGGACAAATGGATCTTGTAAATGGATCAAATTGAATAATAGTAGAAATAGTTTGTGTAAAGCAGAGTACACAATACATCTTAGAGAGATAAAAAAACATTTACACTGCAAAGCTGCATTTATTCTTACCAAGAGTGGTTGTCGAACCTTTTTTCATGCCATACAACCATGCACCTATTACACTAATCTCCGATATTGTTAGCATGTGTTTCTGCAACAGGTATTGTTTTTACAAATTTAGCCAATACAAAAGGAGCAAGTCCTTCTGATTGTTGCAAATAATTAGATAAAGTTTTACCCAAGGTAGTTACAGATAAT